CAGCCAAGATTGTTAATACTGACTTTGAAGAATTCGACAAGACTATACTTGGAAATATAGACGCGCATATACACACGCACGCGCACGCGCGCGCGCCCACACGCACGCACGCACGCACGCACGCACGCACGCACGCACGCACGCATATAATTAGAGATAGAAATATTTAATTTGCCAGTATGCTCTCGTCATCTTGTTGATCACTAGTTTCAGCCGCGGAAGGTATCGTGGCGAGTAATCTAACGGCCAATCTTCCTGGGGATCCTGGAGGTTCCGGTTCCTGAATGGCGAGTTGACGAGTTAACCGCGGCTTCGGTTTGATTGGTCTCGGTGTATTACGCGCACTAATTTCTAGAGAGGCACTAGATCTCGAGATGCGCCAAGTACTGGTGCTGGCAGTAGTCGCGGAACCAGAAGAATCGTTACGCGAGGAGCTTAAATTCGAATCCTGCGAGGGTTTCCTAGTAATCAACCAAGAGGAAGTCTTCCGCTTCGAATCTAGTAGTCTGAGTGGAATACCACAATGATGCGTTTGCCGCCAAGAATCCGATCTAGATGAGGAAAAGTTTTCACTAGACGATACCGAGGACGCCCGTTTATGCTGTTTCTGCTGGATCTGAGCGATCTGATAAGCATACTGATCGTTACGCGCATGCCGTGGTCGAGAGTCGCGTGTACACGGCCAGAATATCCCACTGCTCCACCAACGGTAAAATAAACGACGACTTCCAGTTTCCAAAAGTTTTGAATTACAAGCACATGGTGTTTCAAATCCTTGATTCTCTCGCGACGACCGATCCATGAGGCTGTTCGTGTTGGCGGGCGTTTGCCGATTACTAAAATTCGAACTATGTCGACATCTACCGATACCTCGAGTTACGCGTGACTCCTCGATCGCTTTACATATCAATACGCAATCCTTCTTAAATTGTTTTGTAAGGATCGCATATAGAAAAGGATTGCAACAAGAGTTAAGTGGTAGCACGAATACCGCGAAAATTTTAGCTTGCTCTAGAGATACCAATTGCAATCCAAAGGTCGCTGTGAGAGAGAAAAAGGCTATCGGCGACCAACAGAGAAAATCAGTAAAAACGAGCAGAGCCATTCTCTTCGCTATGCGAGAGTCATTTGAATTCCATGCTTGGGAGCCTCGTATCGCACAATACATCTTCAAGTAGCATCCCATTAGTATCAGAAAAGCTACTCCATTAATGAGCATGAGGAACACCACGTATGCGAGTGCCGCACTGCCATTAGTTTCGAACGGTAAACAAATAGCAAATTTTCTATAGTCTGAAACTCCCAACAATGGTAAGCTTGCCATAATTAGAGCGAAACACCAGCCTATCATCATGACATAGCCCGCATGTTTCAATGAGAGCCGTTTGTTTAAATGCATCGCGTGCGTTATCGCATAATTTCTCTCTAAAGTAATCACAGCGAGTGTGTATACGCTCAATTCAGAACTAAGAACGCCCAAAAAGCCAGCCAGCTGACATCCGACTGACATTTGCCATGGTATCGCATACATTCGAAATTCTCCTAATGTCGATGCGTCAACAACGGCCAATAACCCTAAAACAGATTGAAATAAAAATCTCCCTAAGGAAAAAAACCCAATAATAACTATTTTCATTAATATTGTGTATTGTGTATATGTAAATGCGCGTGCAATGTAAATGCAAATGCAAATATAAAAATGCAAAATATAGAACGAATAATATCCAAATCGACATAAAAGAAATACATAAAGACATTACCTAGGTAAACACCCATAAAAAAATCGGCAGCGGCCAAGTTGCAGACTAAAAATCGTGGCACATCCATTTTACTTCTTGAAAATATTAAAACAAATACCACAATGCCATTTCCAAGCATGGCGAGAAGAAAGACTATCCATACACCGCAACGTAAAGTCCACCAATCGAATAAATCTTGGCATGGTAGGAAAGGACCTGAAAAAATTTCACATATGCATATAAATTAATTAAATAGATAAAGTGTATCGTCATCATACATTCGACGAATTTCGAAACTATCATCATCGAATTATCCGACATACCGGGTTGTGGCAAGCACTGGATGCGAGAGGATACGAAAGTCCGAGTTGCCGACGTCGTTCGATCGTCTAGATTCTCAAAATAATCCTCTACGTAGGAAGGCAGATTTCCCGGATAAGTAAAATCTGAACCAAAGTTGGCCCAAAGTTCATTTATCTGCGATCCAAATTTGTCAGTCAAGTTATCTAAAAGAAAAAAAAATCGTTATCACTTCGGAAAGATCAGTGATGAAATATGATACGATGATACAAATATGTTTGTTCTTTTCACACACATTCGTTATTCTTGTAGACTATGCAATATTTGATGATTGAGTTTACAGTGAATATTTTGCGATTGAGTGTTAAATACGACATTGATAAGTACAAAACATAAAAAGTGAAAACAATAAACGAAGAAATATATATAAAGAAAAGTTACTTACCTAATTGTGGCCAGATATCGCTGAATGTAGAATTCCACAAGCTAGTATCGAAATCGTCGGTGGGAAATAAAATCGACTCCTGGACCGGTGTCTTTGTGACGGATTCCCCTTCGAGCGGAAGAAACAAGCAGCAATGATAAGCGTATGACAATAACATTGTTTGTACTCGCGGAAATCTTTCAGGAGGTGGAAATTCTCGCAATGCGGGATTATTAAATGTCTTGAGATGTAATAATCCTGCGAGACCTCTTATTGGCAGTGTAGGGAAGACATTATTTCCTAAATTTCTACAAATAAATACCTATATCTTAATTGCATATAAAAATTAATTTGTGAAAAAGTATTCTTTTATGAAAATTTCTTTACAAAACATGCGCGAATTATGCAGACGCACTTACAAATCTTGCAACCGTTTTGTTTCTCTAAACGCGTCAGGATGTATGTATTCGATATAATTATTTTCCAAATCTCTAAAATATAAAGTGGAATATAAAAATATTAATTAAATATCAAATTAAATTAAATTAGATATAAATTATTAGAGAAATATATAAAATATGAGTAATATAGTTAAATGCGTCTTACTACACTTACAGAACTTGGAGTCTAGATAATCCGATAAACACATCACTGGAAATGCTCCGCAAATTATTGTTGGATAAAAGGAGATCATGCAACATATTTAAACCTTTAAAAGCGTCATCGGGTAATATGGATATCATATTACTAGCTAAATCTCTAAAACAGCAAGATTTGCACCACTTACATCATCTTGGATATTCAATATACTTTACACGTGCTATAATATAGTTATTAATATAGTGTATTACATTACAAAATTGCATATTACTTACAAAACACGGAGTTTATTACAATTTCGTAAATTTGGTATTTCTGTCAAAAAATTGGATTTCACATTGCTGAAAACAAAAACAAAATGTATATGGGAAATGATTATTGTTAAAACAAGAGCTATAATATGAATATGTATGAATTATAAGATGATACTACAAACAGATTACTAGGCAAAAATAATTTTGATTAAATTTAGCATTAAACTTACAAACTTTTTAGTTTCGGACATTGATGACAAAGATTGGGAGGAATCTCCTTCAACTGAGAACGATCTAATCTTAATACTTCCAAAGACGTTGCTCCATTTAAATCAGGAAAAAGTTTCAATTCCTTCAAATTCGACAATATCCTATAATTGATAAAAAAATATGATGTTATTTCTAATATAGTATAATTGTTTATACCAATTAAATTATTTATATCATATTTATATCATATTATTATATCTGCTAAAAACTGGAATAAAATTCAAAATAAAATTACTTACAACTTACGAAGTTTACCAAGATTCTGGAAGGTTTGATCATGTATCTCTTTGATAGGATTTCCGCGTAAATCAAGCGATATCAAATTGTTGACATGGCATAACGCATCTCTCGTGAGTTGCTCTATTTTATTATTCGATATAGATCTACAGAAATAGAATAAAAAAATTCATAAACGTATGTATATCGCACTCACATTACATTGAGGAAATTAACATGCTCATGTATGATGAGCAAGCAGATGGAAAAATATTTCAAAATTATTGGATAAAAATGTGAACAAAAGGCACTTACAATTCTTCAAGGTTAGGTATATTTAGAAGAGCAGCCGGTATCTTTGTTAAATAATTTTCATCGAGTTCCCTGAAAATAGGACAGATGAAAGATCATAGATTGCAGATAGATTATGATTTATTCTTCTTAAATACTTACAATATACGAAGATTCGCTAAATTTATAAATGCGTCATCATGAATGGCACGTAAACGATTACGTCGAAAAAATCTAAAAAATAAAATATATATATATGTATGTATGCGTGCGTGCTGCGTGCGTGCGTGCGTGCGTGCGTGCGTGCGTGCGTGCGTGCGTGCGTGCGTGCGTGCGTGCGTGCGTGCGTGCGTGCGTGCGTGCCTACGTGCGTGTGCACACGCGCGCATGTATGTAGTCATGTCGTGTAGATATACAGCATCACTATTCTCCTTTAGATTTTATATTTTCTTTCCTTATATCTAACAATTATTATTACGTGTGTATATACTTACAAAATTTCGAGATTAGAAAATCGATGGAAAGCATGTATTGGAATGTCTGTTATATTATTGTTGGTCAAATCACTGAAACAATAAAATTAGGAAAAATTTTAGAAAAACGTATATATTACAACAAATAAGAAAATTCGCAGCTAAAATATAATACCAATGAAATATGTATCATGTTGTGTGTTTACGTTATTGCAATACGTTATATCACACTCCTAATACAAAAAGAGATCACTCATAAGCTTATATTTCTATATGATATATAATAAAATTCGAAGAAGAGAAGCGGAATGAATGTTACCGAGCATAAAGTCATCGAGCGATATCTTCTAAAAATAATTCTTTTACGAAAGATGACTATGAAAAATCATTGCACTCGTAGAGGATTGTATTTGTGTTCTAAAGCAAGAAAAGAGAATTACATTCGCAGTAAAATCAGAGTAATAGATATTAAAGAGCAAATAATATTTTTGTATATATTTTTGTAAGATCGACGATTAAAGTGATATTCAATCGTTAGACAATCGTCGTCGCACTAAGTTATTTCTTTTTTTTTCTCAGCAATATTATATAAAAATTATTCCAGACTTGATTTATAATTAAAGCTACCTCGTTTTAGCCAATAATATCGAAATGAGTAACTTATAGAAATCAAGGGACATCACAGGAAATGATTAAAAAATATATTTTTACAAGCTTAAATCATAGAGAATAAAAAAATAAGACGATATTTTAGAAAATTAACGAATCGACATTTTTACTTTTGCGTTGCGTGAGTGTGAATCGAGAAAAGCGGACCGAAGGTTGCGCAGATTTTGGTCCATTTTTATGAGTCCTTTGACCTCATTTGCTCAGAATGGATCGATGTGTGTTTATCGGTTTACCGAATGAAGAAACAGCGCGGCATTCTATACAATACGATAAGAGAGAAAAGTTCATTGCCACGATGCAAAACATTGGCAATAAATAATTAATAAAATAAAAAAATATATATATTATATATCAAGACCATTAGCAGTCTACGTCTATTAACGAGATAAAATGTTATGATGAAATAAATCCATAACATGAAAATCTATATCAATATTCGTAGATTATCATCACAAAGCGAATAGCTAACGAATAGATATGTTTGCCCGATGCGACAATTTTGCTCACATGCGATCATTACCCACGAATGTGCATAATTATTGTAGATATCATGTAATGCTCTTTTTATTTATTATTTTTAATCAATGTTATTCAATGTGTTTTTTCAAAAAAGTTTCAAAAACATGTATTAAAATGTTTTGTTTAATACATGTTTCTTATGTGTCCATTTTTTAATAAGTTGGCGACTATTTAACTCGAGTTTACGAGATACAAGTCTGAAGAAATCAGGAGAGTCCTCCTGTCGCTCACGATGCATATGTTGTGTCAGTGAATGCACAGTATCTTTTCTCTCTGGTTCATTCGTCTTAAAATAGAAAAAGCATGAGCAGTGGCGTTTTACGATACTTCGACGCACACTTGTTTAAAGTTCCAATGGAACTTTCTCGACGCGCACGAACATTGGGTTCTAATTACGCTTTTGGGAACATGATTCTGTTACAGGTGGGCCTTTGGAAACTTTCGATGTTTTATACTCAAGGACAGTTTGAATTTATCAATCTTTATATTTGTGACATAAAGACTATTATACATCTGCAATATATCGCATGTACATCGCATTATCAAAAATCTAATTTAGCGTTAAAAATAATAAAAAAAGGATTATTTAAAAAAACTTTTAAAATAAAATCCTTTCCTATCTTATAAAACTTTAAAGTACTAATATGACATAACTGTCATGCTTACATATCTTAGTTTTATTTATTCGCAAATAAAATTGATCAAGTTCGGGAATGAAATTACTTCTGCAATAGATGTCACGGTCGTGCTGTCGCCAACGTGAAAAGAATGAAGAATGGCATACCTTCCGTATTTTTACAATATTAACGAAGAAGCATTGCCGAACCGCAAGACGTACGCAAGACGCCAATGCATAATAATTTATCGATAAATTATGATAGAACAGAAATGAGACGTGAAAAGACGAGAAAAGTGGCACAATAATAACCAAGATTTCGTATTTTTCTTTCTTTTTTTTGTTTCGTCAGAAAGAGGCCGGAAGCAACTACTCGAAATATCTCGCGGCAACGAAAGCTAAGCTGTTATTTCTTAAGTAGCAAATTAGATCGATTCACAATTTTAGACAAGATTTAACAAAGCGAGAGTAAAGTAACAGTTTTATAGCGGCGTCCATTAAACGAGACAAAACTGCATCTCGAAGCCGTAGACAACTTTATGAAGAAACGCAGTAGAGTCAAGAATGGCTACGATAAATTTTCTCGGTTCCTTGATGCTAAATCACGATCTATAGAATATCGACTATCGTTCCGTTCAGTATGTAGGTCGCATCGTTGAATATATATAAAATATATAAAAATGGCGTTGCTCCTTTTATTTTTCCTATCATGCTCGATCGAAAGTTTTCGATCGATTATTTTTGCGTAAGATAGATGTGATTGGCGAAAACGATTGAGTAGGAATTGAAAAAGAAATCTGAAAAGAATACTGAGAATACACGTCAAAGATTAAAATTATTTGCACGTCCGAAATCATCATTTTTCCGCTCCCACACATCTAGTTGGTCAATTGCAACATGGATAATTGGCAACATAAATAATTAAAAATTAAAGATATAAAATGATTTTTTTCAGATGTGTAAAAGCACGACGGATCCGCGTAAGGTCTAGAATCGTATGTAGGGCGCGATGTAGCGATGATGAGTGTTCGTTACGTTGCGCCTTCTAGCTGCAATTGCAATGGTAAATTTACGCAACGCTATACATTCGCGTACAGTCATTCTTTTCAATAATATTTTCAATAATATTTTCAACGTATAGACGAACATTTTGACAAATTATTCTTGAAAATACGAGCGAAGGCAAAATGTACAGAAAAATGTGCATTAGCTGAGACATTATCAATGAAAGATTTCTCTCTGTGATACTTCCAATTCGGTCAGCCGAAAATCTTTCAATCTCGCTGTAGTTGCATAATTGATGTAAAGCTGACGAAACGTACTCACATCTTTGTAATATTAACAGGAACGATAGTCTTTAACAGATCAACATTGTAGATCAGCTCGACGGAGAGTAAATTGGCACCGCGACATAGCAGCTCCCGTCCATCGATGAAGTTACATGAGGTTACATCCAGTGCACCGCTTCGACAGTAGTAGATTTGCCAGAAAAGGATGATCGTCAAGATGACCGCTCTCTCGTTCCGACGAGATCGCGTGCACATACCGGCCGATCCTGTATGTTCCGCCCGCCTGCGTAACTCGTTTTCGCAACTCTCTTTCCCACCGGGTACACCGCGCCCAGGACCAAGTCACCTTACCATTGTTCCTCACGCCATCCTTCAGCATCCGCATATCCGCGGTCCACGTCCGGGCACGCGTGCACACGCGCGACCATCAACGCGAACACCCCCATTAGGAGCCGGAGCCGCCTTCGCCCTCGTCTTTGCTTTCGCCGTCGGCGTCGTCGTCGTCGTCGTCGCCGTCGTCGTCGTCGCCGTCGTCGTCGTCGCCGTCGTCGTCGTCGCCGTCGTCGTCGTCGCCGCCGCCGCCACCACCACCACCGCCACCACCGCCACCACCACCACCGCCACCACCACCACCACCACCACCACCACTACCACCACCACCATCATCACTACCACTACCACATCACTACCATTATTACCATCACTACCACTACCACTACTATCACCGATCACTACTACTGCCACTACCGCTGCCGTCGCCACGACGTCCTCGTTGCTGCTGCTGTCACTACCACCTCCACAACCACAGCTGTAGTTGCCGTACTTCAAAGGGTAAGAAAACGGATGAAGTAACGACATTCTCGAATTAATTCAAAAATTGCAATCTCCGACTCCAAAGAAAAACTCTACCATTCGCTCTGCGATACATTCACCAACTGATGCGATATTACGCACGATCTCGATACCTATACGGATATCGTATGTACATCCCCACTACTCATCTCTCCATCCCATTTCCCAACACCCACCCTGAATCACTCGACTTTCTCAACTCAATCCTGTTGTGCGTGATGCAACAGCGATATCACAGAATTCGTTGCCTTCCACAACGAAGGCTGATTCAGCAAACTTGTTTCGTTGAACTCGATCGAATAATTTCATGACAGTTTCGCGATAGATTAATTTTATGCTTAAAAAATAAAACTATGTACCCACTTAGAACACAGCCTCCAGTGGACGTTTATTAAACTTCCATGGCTCCATTAAACTTCCATCGAACATCTATCTCCACGATGGAAGTTAGATAGACGTCGATTAGAGGTCCACCCAACTTCCACGAGGGATGGTTCTTTAGAATTTCACCGTAGACGTCCATTAACTATCAAGTCAAGAATATATAAAATTAAAAATTTATTTATAAATATATATTCTTAATTTTTAGCTATTGCATATATCTTATTTAATTGTGTATAAATGATTATATCAAATACAAAAAACGTATTTCGTCGAACAAGA